GGCATTCTGAGAACAGGAGGAAAAGTGGGTATGTGTGGACTGTGTGCACAACATGGTGATCCAGCCTCTGACCTGTTACAGGTACGCCACCAAGCCCATGACCTATGTGTTGGGCATTGACAGTGACTGCTGGGTCAGAGATGTCACATAGAGGTACGACCCAGCCTGGATGACAGTGACCTGCAAGTATTGGGCTGTTGCTGAGTGATGCGCCAAGACCTTAAGACCATATCAGAGCCTATTTATAGACAGGGGAAGAAAGACTTGGAATTTCAGGCAAAACACATGGACCAGTCTTTGCCCACTGTCATTGGCTTATGTAAGAACCACTCTCTGTATGCCTTGAAGCACCATCCCCTAAAATATGAGGCCATCTCTCCAGAGACAGTTGCCATCCTTGGGTATTGTCATGAAAAAGTGGTCTACTCCAGGGATTGTATGCACATTCTGCACTCCAGGGACACATGGCTGAAGAAAGCAAGAGTGGTGAGGCATGGAGAAGTGCCCTACAAAATGGTGATAGGCTATTCCAACCTTGCCTGGAAAGCCTGACTTGCTGAGCACCAGCTGGAGGAACAAAATGACCTGGTCCTGTTTGACTACTGGCAGACAGAGGAGTATCAGCCCCTCGTGACCGTGGGCGGGATAGTGCCCAGAACAAGTTAGGGAATGTGTACCTCTTCTTGCCCACCATGATGCCTGTTGGCCGTGTCCAGCTGGAGGACCTGCCCAATCTACAACACGTGGCCCACAAGCTGGATATCAACTGTGTCCAGGCCATCACTGGCTTTGATTTCCACGGTGGCCACTCCCATCCCTTGACTGACGGATACATCGTCTGCGCGGAATTCAGAGATGTGCTCCTGTCCACCTGGGAAAATGAGCAGACGATCATGAAAAGGAGAAGGAGAAAAGAGAGAAGTGAGTTCTAGGGAACTGGAAGCTGCTGGCCAAAGGTCAGCTCATCAGGGAGAGGCTGAAGCATCACTGTGGGCTCAAGAGTGAAGCACCAGCTCCCCACGCAGATGCAGGAGGTGGACTCTCTTCTGATGAAGATGAGAGGACTAGCTCTCAAGCAGGAGCGGCCAGGATACTGGCTGCCTCCTGGCCTCAAAATCAGGAAGATAAAGAAAAGCAGAAGCTGAAGGGTGGCCCCAAGAAGACCAAAAGGGAAAAGAAGGCAGCAACTTCCCACCTGTTCTCATTTGAGAAGCTGTGTGCTGAGCCTCTACTACAGGGACACCCACCACTTGTTGCTGCCCCACTACAGGCCCCACACCTGCCCTGGGCATGCCCAACCCCCAGTGATGGGGGCTTCTCTGCTGAGATGGCAAACTGAGGCAGCATGCACTGAGGCAAAGCCAGGAAAGAGGAGGTGGAACTGAGGAGGTGCTGCAGGTCCAGCCTGGCCCCAGCCCAGTCCCAGCCCTTGTCAGATTCACCCAGGATGAAGCCTTCAAAGCTTTTGCTACCAAAGCCCACTCATTATTTGGGCTATAGAAGACTTTGCTGGAAGACACTTTCCTGCCTCCTAGACCTGTTCTTTCCATTTTTGGAAATGTAGTTTTTGTATGGAAGCCACTGGGAGATTTCTGGATGGGGGTGCATCCATGAATGCACTGATTCTTTCTTCCAGTTAGAGGCTTCATCTGTCTGACAAGTTCACTTGCCTTGCTTGCGGACCTGGTACCCTTCCTCTGAAGGCCTGTTACCTTCCCCTGAATCAGGCTTACTAATGCTGCCCTCACTGACTCTTTGCATTAGGGGAGAGAGCAGAGGAAAAGTACAGGTCATCTCAGATTATGGAATTGCTGGGATCTAGTTTTCCAAGTAGCATTTTGTGGTGGCAGAAGCCTAGAAAAAGAGCTAAGGTCAGGGAATAAAAGGACAAACATCAATTGAAAATTAAGGAATTGTTAGTAAAAGTAGATCAATGTTAAACTAGATTCTATTCATTAGTAGATAAATGTATAAAGCTATCTGTACTATAGATACTCAGGAGAAATAACATTTATAACATTTTGAGAAAAAAATAAAGTATTTAAAAAAAAAAAAAAAAAAGGCAAGGTACTCTTATAAAACCATCAGATTAAGACGAACTCACTACCACAAGAACAGCATGGGGAAACTGCCCCCATGATTTAATTATCTCTCACCAGGTCCCTCCCACAACGTGTGGGAATTATGGGAGCTACAGTTCAAGATGAGATTTGGGTGGGGACACAGCCAAACCGTATCATAGCCAGCTGAACCCCTGGGCAGAGCCCACTAAGCTATTCCTGGACCCCTGACTCCTGAAAAACTTGCGATAATAAATGCTTATTGTTTTAAGTAACCAAGGTTGTGATCATTTGTTATGTAGCAACAGAAAGCTAATACAATATTCAACAGCAGGATGAATGTGTTATATTTCAGTATTGAATCAGAATATTTAATTTCATAGTACTGAAAGAATTTGGATAAATTTAAAATGTGTCCTTACATTTGTCAACAGGTACAAAGTTACGGGTAGAGAGAAGGAATAAGTTTTGGTGTTCTATTGCACATCAAGGTGACTACAATGAACACTAATGTATTATGCATTTCAAAATAGCTATGAGAGGATTTTAATTCTCACCACAATTAAATAACAAATATTTGAAGTAATATACTAATTAGCCTAATTTGATAATTCCACAAAGTATACATGTATGGAAAGATCACGTTACCACATATAGATATACGCAATTATTTGTCACTAAAAAAAAACTATAAAAATGTGTCATTAAAAATTAATTCAATGTCTGACTTTTTATTTAACATGCTTTGGTGGTCAATTTTCTTAGACAATTTACCAGTACATTCAAAACTTGTATTATATTTCTAATCTCAGTAAAACTAAAATCATATTCAAAATGATAAATTGCTGCTTCTCTTAAGAAAATCTGGGCAAGTCAATAATGTGTCAATGTTTTTCTAATGGGGAGAGTAAACATTATCACCATGTAAAAAGTATATAATGCCAAGAATAGTTGTATAGAGGTCACATCAACTGATCAAAAACTGATGCCCTTAATCACCTGTAAAATGAGTTAACCACCTCTTGTAAAACAAAAAGAAACTGACTGGAATTCCACTACAGCAACATGGTCCATCTATACTTCTCTCAATTTAAACCCATTTTTGCATGACACACATGTCCTTAGAAAAGTAAATCTGGGCTCTTACCATTCCATTTTGATTAAGTAAAGCAGGGTCGGAATAACTGTCAAAGGTGAGTCCATATCTAGAAAGGGATACTGTAGGCTAAACGTGTCAGCATTCTGTACTTTGAGTCAAGTAGGCTTGTCCTCAGCAAACCACATTGCAAATGAAATTAAATGAAGCCTGTGGATTCTACAGGTCCCAGGGCAAATGTTGGAGTCCTGATCCAAGACCCCCTACAAAGTTCTCAATTTTCAGCCAGGAATGTATAAATGACCTTTGCTAGCTTCAGGGCTTTTATACATTTTGCTTTTCTGGCATTTAATGGAGTCTTATAGAGACTGAAGTTCCCAGCGGGCAGTGTTCCATTTTGTGTAATTCCACTCAGCACAGAAAAGCAATAAAGGGATATACCCTGAGACAGTTTTCTCTAGATTCAAGTATGGTAGCACTTTCCTTGACATTTCACACAGGACAAGGAAACAAGCCAGGGGACGGGAGGGGGATACCTATTTTTGCATTAAGCACAAGTGTCTTTACATGTACTATATCACCTCCTTTATAAGTCACAAAGTACTTAAATATAAAGGTGATAGATAGCAGTTACTGAGTACCTACAGGGTACCTGCACTAAGTGCTTTAAGGAATTACAGTAAGTCCTCACTTAGCATCACAGGTTCCTGGAAACTGCTACTTTTAAGTGGAGAGACATAAAAAAATAAAATAAAATAAAATAAAAATGTGGTTTTGTTGTTGTTTTGCCTCAGCAACGTTATAAAGAAATGATGTTGGGTAAAACATTATTAGAGGACATGCTATATGCATTTAATTCTTTACACAGCTGTATGGGAAAATGTTCCTGTATAATTGTGGTATGGGTAAGGAAACTGAGGCTTAAGGAGATATTGTAATTGGTAAGTTGAAGTTGAACCACATTTATTTAAATTAAAATCCACATGCTTAACCACAATGCTTTAAAGGCTTCCCTTGTATATGCTGTAATGGTCAGTGAAGGGGCAAAAGGAAAGACAATGGGAATATTCTATTCCCAAGGACAAACTTGCGGTATTTATCCTGGTAATAATAATATTTGTTTAACCGAGGTGCATATGTATGGTATATTACAAATAGCAAAGTACCTTCCAAAACGTATGCCATTTAGTTATCACAAGAGTCCTACTGCTGGTTTGGTAGAGCGTATAGCGATGCCATTAAGAACGTAAATTTGGTGTCAAACAGGTTTAGGCTTAAATAGTAGCCCAGAAATTTATTAGCCCCACAACCACAGGGAAAGTAATCTCTCAGTTCCCTCATCTGTGACAGGTGCTAAGATACGCCTATCTCTCAGGGTAGATGACAGGATTATTTGTCAGTGAGCACATGCAATAAAAATGTTTGTGGTCTTGTTTTACGTATTATGAATCCTGATTCCCAGGAGCAAGAAGAGCTGGCACCGGCCAGAAGGTAAGAGGTTGGGCCAAGTTTTCTTTCTCCAGTAGCTCTCCTTTATCCCTTAGGCTATCCAAAGGTGTAGAATGTGGGGTTTCCAGTACTCAAGTTCTCCCGTCCCCACCCTGACTCAAGGCGATAGGAGTTCCGCTAAACTCCCTCCAGCCTTGCCTGACTGAGCAGCCCAAACTCAGCCTGGACCCCTGCTTCGCCTCCCTCAAACACTGCGTCACAAGCCCCCTGCGAATGTTCACCTCGAGCCTGGTTCTGGCCAGACCCCGGTCTTGCGCACAGGGAGGACGATTTCGACCCCAATTGGCTGTTGCCCTGGGTGACCAAGAACGCGTTGGGGACGCGGGAGGCCACGGCGGATATTTAAAGGCTGCCGCTGCCTGCGCCACACCAGTCCCGCCAGGACGGCGACAGTGAAGCACCTGGGTTGAGAGGGAGCAGCAAGGTAACCGCGCAACCCGTGCCTCCCTGGCCCCCGCCCGCGCCTCAGCCGAGCCGGGTGTGGGGGGACCCGGGAGTGTGTCTCACTGCGTGTCACCTGCCAACACCTTCCTCCCCCACCATCCTTACTCAGCCCCAGTCTCACCCAGCATACCTGGGCGAGGCAACCCGGGTGCGAAGGACAAGAGATTACGACCGAAGAGCGAGCAAATCAGGAAGACAGCGGCCTCCTGGAGAGGAAGACGTGATCCCAGGGGCAGACACGTGGCGCTGCGTGGAGAGACGGGGTGACCAGACGACGCTCTTCCGACCGTCCTGTTTGGCCAAACTTGACGACAGCTTCTGGGTCGCTACCATCTAGACCTCTCAGAGCCCCCTGAACCATGACGGAGACCCTCAACATGAGAGAAGGCCCTCTGAACCTGGGCGGCGGCGGGGCGCACTCGGCCTCCCTGCGCTCCTGGTCGTCCTGCCACCGAAGGCGCCGGGGCGCTCCCGTGTACAATAGATGGCACCACTATAGCCCCAAGACCGAGTATGGGCCCCCAAGGAAACAGCCAAAGCCACAGCACGGCCCGGGGTTTTGGGTCCAACCACCCGTGTGCTCTAACTGGGGGTGCTGGGGAGGGCCCTGGCGCCCACCCCCTCCGGGATTCCCGAGGCCCCCTGGCCGGGTGCAAGTGATTCCTGTGTACGGCCTGCACCCGCTCTGCTTTTGCTGCTGCTCCTGCTGGAGCGGATCCTGGAACCCTGGCTGGGCGAGGCCCCCAGGCAAGAAGAAGCGCTGGGGCCGCAGGGGCCGCAGGGGCCGCGGCCCGCGCCACCACCCTCGCCGCTCCTCCTCGCGGAGCCCGCCCGCCGATCTGAGCACGCTGCTGCGGCCGGCCAGCCCGTACGAATGGCGAGCGCCTGGCATGCGAGCGCCGCGCAACACCACCCAGTTCATCATGGACCAGATCTACGAGGACATGCGGCAGCAGGAGGAGCTGCAGCGCCAGCAGCAGGCCCTGGGGGCGCAGCAGGCCCTGGTGGGGGGCGAGGCCTCCCCGGCCGGATCCTCCGGAAACGACGCGCCCCCTGGCGGCAGCGAGGAAACCTGGGCGCTGCCGGAAACTCTGTATGACCTTGTGCAGAATCCTCTGGCATTCAGTCCCACCCCAGAGGAAAACCAGTCTCCTGCCCCTCTGCTGGTGAAGGAAGACGAGGGGGAAGAGAAAAATGATGACGAGTATGACCAGGAGATGTGTGATGTAAAGGAGGAGAGCGAGGAGGAGGAAGGAGAGGTTGAAGATGAGGAAGGAGAGGTCGAAGATGAGGAGGAGGAAGAGGAGGTCGAAGATGAGGAGGAGGAAGAGGTCGAAGAGGCTGAATACGTGGAGGGGGAGGAGGAGCTGGAAGAGGAGGAGGAGGGGGGCCTGGAGAAGAACAAGCAGGGAGGGGAAGAATTTCACTTGCCTTTGGAAATGCCTTTATCAATCTTCGTAGGGGCTGAAGAAACGAGAGAGAACTTTATAAACTGTACTTTTTTAAACCCAGAGCAGATAATTCCCAACGTATCGCAGGAATCCCTGTTCCTGGCACAGGACTTTAACTGTTAGACATCAGAAAAGGGATTGAGGAAAAGGATGGAACTGATTTGAGGCTAAACTGGATTAGCAATTTATTAAAAACTGATTAAAAAGTGAGTTCCATTAATAAACAGATCTATGTAAACACCTTCTTTGGCCATTATAAAATGTTTAAAATTTGACGTGGTTGTGTATGACTATGGGTGGTGGTGGGGGAGATTTCAAGTATAATTTTACTGGAACTGATTAAAGGCCAAATATTTTATTACTTACATTTGAATATTTTCATTTGATGTCTTCCCCTCCAGAAAATTGAGTTGTTTTTTAAATCTGGTAATGCTGAAAAAAATGCTTTGTTTTTGCAGCAAATTTATACAACTTAGTCACTTACTGATCTTGGAATCAAGAGAGAGTTTGTTACATGCTTAAGAAGGACATTCTAAGGCTACTGAATGTTAACCAGTGTTCTTAACACAACTGAAGCCATTTTAAATCCCTGCATTTTTTCAACAATATTTTTCCTAATAGATTTTTCCACCTTCAGAGTTCATTTTTGAGGGTTGTATTTTCTTAACCCATTTGCAGTCTCTTGTGGCATCGCTCATTTATATTCCTTGTTCCACAGTGCTATGGATCTTCCTCAGAAGAACAAGAAGTTGCTTCTGTGGAACTGGTTATCTGCCATGGCCTCAACAATCCATAATCCATTCATGGAGAGGATTCCCCATGGTCAGAAGTCAACTTGCACATCTAGTTAAAATCCAAGGTAACTGCAAACAATGGAACATAGCTTAGGTTCTGAAGCCTCGTTATTGGATATAGTCTTTGTCATAAGTTCTGAGCAGCCATAAAGATAGTTTTGCAGAATGGATTTTTTAAAAGAAAAACATTATTGACCTTTTGGGGATGGAATATCTTATTTTGTTTTTCAATTTGTCTTCCTTATAAAGGAGAGTAAAACAAAGACATGTAAGTGTGAGTCTGTGTGAGCTAGTTTCTGATATCTAAATAGCAATTATCTATGGAGAAACGTCATTCAAAGTAACAGCTTTTGTTCAAACATTTTTAGGAAGTAATAATATGTTTCTTCCTGGATAGTTAATAAAAGTTCCATCCATAGCATATTTCCAAGATATCCTTAGATGATGAATTTGAATCTGCCGTCTCAGAAATTACATCATTTGACTTTGAACCACAATTTAGCATTTATTTGTTGAAGAGAAGAATGTGTGGTGATGTCTTATCTGAGTGTTGATTGTTACTGATATATTGCAGTTTTCAAAGTGATAAGCATAAGCTATTATTTAATAGCTTTTTATTATTTGATAAAAAAAGTATTAAATAAAAGTAACTTGCCTCTCATTTCTCATTATTTAAATATCACAAATCTATGCAGCAATGCTTCAGTGGCCAAAAGGATGAATAGAAGAGAGGTGGAAAATTGTGATAATTTTAAAATTACACCAAACATTCCAAATTGCAGTGGTGAATAACCAAAACTCTAAGAAATCATTACTTTCTACATGATGGAATTTCTTAATGACCTCTAAAATTAAAATTAGCCATCTCTGTGTTTTACTGTTCTAATACATGCATGTAGAGGGAAATCACAAGAATCCACCTCCTAAAGCTAAATAATAAATCCTTGCAAGTCACAGCCCATAAATACAAAAGGTCAAACTTACGTGTGTTCTCACTAGAGAAGCCTTTTTTTATTTTAGATTAGATGTCTTCACAATCCCATCCAGATATTTCTCTATTTCTTCCCGCAAAATATTTTACTTTTAAATTTAAGGATTCACTACATATTTATTGACTTCATATGCACAAGGTGTTATTCATTTGTTACTTCAAGGGATGTAAACATGGGCAATGCCTCAGGAGTCTACATTCTTGCTCATGAACCATTAGTCAACAAATATTGAACTACTGGGGGCCAAGCACTGTGAACAGTGATAAGAATACTATAGTGAATGAGCAAAAACACTCTCTGACATTGTTATTGTTTAGTAGAAAAGTCAGACATTAAATGAGTTAGATGGATGGCTCATTGCAAGTGTTCCGAGGGAAAGGTACCACTAAAGAAACATAGAGCACTGAAGTGGCCATGAGTAAGGCTGAGGATGTTTATTGTGGGCAGAGAGACCCTTAAGTCTAAAGGCCAAAAGCTGGGAGAAGCTTGGTGCCTTTGAGGAACTGAGTGTCTGGACGGACCAGAGAGACTGGAAGCAAGAGCTAATGAAGGTGAGAGAAGTGTGCAGAACCCATATCATCTATTCACTTTTATGCCATCCATAGCTTCTGAAATAGACACCAGCAAAACTTAATGTGAGGAGAAAACTATGAGTCATCGATGATTCTTTACCTGAACTTTTAATTAGCCAGATATTGTGATGCTTGCTTTAATAATCCTGATGGCTGTATGAAATAATTAAGTCATGTTAGGGGTTGAAGGGATTGCTCATCCCGGAACACCCACCATCCTAACCACCCACTATCATTTAACACAGGGGATCTTAGGGTTTCCTGCTCAGCATGACTGGAGCACCATAGTTCTCAACTCCCATGTAGAGCCTCTTGCACCATGTGTTCAGTACAACTTGATGATCCCATAGCCTTTACAGTGTTAGTATGGCTCTCAATAACCCAATGTTTAGTTTTAGAGGCACGTGTACACTTGAAAAGAAAAGACAATTTTCCAAAATAAGTTCGTTATTATTAAAATCATTTCAGTGCAATCCCAGTACTTCGGAAGACTGAGGCAGGTGGATCATGAGGTTATATGGAGACCAGCCTGGGCAACATGGTGAAACCCCGTCTCTCCTAAAAATATAAAAATTAACTGGGCATGGTGGTGTATGCCTGTAATCCCAGCTACTCAGGAGGCTGAGGCAGGAGAATAGCTTGAACCAGGGAGTCGGAGGTTGCAGTGAGCTGAGATAGCAACACTGTACTCCAGCCTGGCAACAGAGCGAGACTCTGTCTCAAAAAAAAAAAAAAAAAAAAAATCATTTCAAACTTTATTGTTTGAACACAGTGAAGATGAGGTGTCAGTCATTTCTTTCAAGAATGAAGCTATTTTGTCAATTGTCAGAAAAATAACACTATAAATCATAAACATGATTAGAAGTCCTGAACTGTCTATTCTGAGCTTTTGGTTTTTTTTTTTTTTTTTTTTTTCTCAAGTAGAGATTCTGGCATTCTCATCTTCTAGGGACTGACAGCATTTCTCAATTTGTCTTCATTACTTTGTCTACACAGTAACTTAGAGGAATTTTATTTTCTGTGAAAAGATTAGCCCTCTTCAGATGATAAATACACTTAACATCTAGAGATCAACTCTGAACTCTGAGTATAATTTTATAAAATTTTAGAACATCCATATATGAGGAAGGTAGTATTTCTAACATATTTAGTTCCATTAGAATAAATGGAAAAGGTGAAATGACCAATCTCCTGCCAGTTAACACCAAACCTACAGATCTGGAAAATAACTGATACTTCTCCCGTGACAATGGGTTTTAAGGGAATCAATAAGACTAAAAAAAAATTTTTTTTAATTTTATTTTGTTTTTAGCAGGATAACAGAATGATATATGCAGCCATGTTTTGTATTCAATCAGGTTTATGTTAATGCAAAACAATTGAAAATTACTCATACTCAATGCTGTCAAATCGCTTTGGCCTTTGATATTAAAATCAAAATCAGAATGTGGCTGTCTTAGCTGTTTCAGTACCAGTGTTTTTCTTTATTTAGTTTTAGTTAATTAGTGTAATACAGTCCAATATCAAGGTCGGCTGATGGAAGAGAAGGAAAGGATTTGGATGTGGTGTGGGGAGGCCTAGATGTGTGTCGTTCTGCCTAAGTGACCTGTGGTGGTAGCCACTTGCCTTGGCTTTCTGTTTTCTCAATGTTAGTGATTATACTCAATTACTTCGTCATATTGTGAAGACAAAATACCCAATATCTAAGCAGAACTGTATTTTAACTGCAAAACACTGTTGACCCTTATGCATTAAACTACACTTTATAAAGTTATCTTACATAAATTCTGAACATTAGATCAGTCTAAATCAGGCGTCCCCAAACTACGGCCCGCAGGCCTCATGCAGCCCCCTGAGGCCATTTATCCGGCCCCTCGCTGCACTTCAGGAAGGGGCACCTCTTTCATTGGTGGTCAGTGAGAGGAGCACACTATGTAGTGGCCCTCCAATGGTCTGAGGGACAGTGAACTGGCCCCCCATGTAAAAAGTTTAGACCTAAATTTATTAGCAAGGCCCAGAAAATCTCATAGGAATTCTATTGTGCTGACATAGCGATATTTCAGTTGTTATTAATACCACAGGACTAAGTATGAACCAACTTGTCCTTGAAATTTAGTTTTGGCTTCTGACAAAACAGTATGTAAATGGGCACTTCACACTGTCTACTGCCTTGACATCCATGAACCAGCAGCACTGATACCACCTGAGAGCTTATTAGAAATGTTGAAGAATGCCCAGGCTTCCCCAGACTTACTAAATTAGAATATGTTTTCTATCAAAGTCTCTAAGTGATAGGCGTGTATGTTAAAGTCCCAGAAGCTCTGTGGTTTAGGTGTTAGACCCACCGCAGAAGGCTCATGGGAATTTAATGATTAACTCTATGGTTTATGCATTAAAAACTATCATATTCTACTTGTATGACCTCAGCATTGTCACTGAAATTTTGACATCTCATCTATAGTACCTACCTCAAGAATGAAATGAGATTATAAAGACTAAGTGAGATAATAGTTACCAAGCACTCTGAACAATGGCAATCAATACTTTCTAGTTATAATAAGTATTCGGTAAATACACAAATGAGGCAATAGACATATTACGTGGTGTCTAGAAATTACTTGTTAGTGATGGAGCAACTACAAAAGTAAAATCTCTCAAAATAACAAAATGATTCATTAACTCTGTCCTATTTCCACTGGTATAACTATAATCAGATACTTTACCTTTGAGCTGCAGACACCATTCTGCAGCCTAGCTAAGAACCAGTTAAATCTCTAGAGCTGCACTCTTTCCCAAGATAGTATTCTCTGTCTTTTATCGCCCCTCTGCCCCTGCCCTTGTCCCAGGTCCATGATGTGTCCTTTTATGGTTGACATTAATGTCATAATGGTTGGCGTTAAGAATTACTCATCCTTTTTCATAGAGGCAATGGATAGTTGAATGCATCTTTTCACAATCAAAATGAAAGCAACTGTAATACTTGAAAAAAAATCTGTAGTGGCTTAATAGTTTATGTAAGTGATATCATGACAATCTAACACATGAATATTTTATGCATAATGTATACAGATATACACATTTGGTGGGGAAAAGTTGCCTGAGTGGGATAAATTGTTATAAATGTTGTTTTGTTGCTTCTCATATATAATTAAAGTAAAATCCAAATTTTACTTTAGAAAAATACTCATAAGAATGTATAGGTAATTTTATACCTGTATAAGATAACTGGATATCATTCCTCATATTATCACTTTATCAAAGGTTCTGTTTTATGCTACACTTAAAGTTAAGCTTATTGTAGATCAAGATACAGATACAGATATATGAAAATGCCAAACAATGTTTAATGTCTGTTGTAAGTCACTTATACAGAGCATTTAAACTATCACAATGTAAACCTCAGATTTCAAAACACATTTGAGTACGTACAAGGTGATTAACATACATTATCACATTTAAACATATAACTACTCTGTGAACTAATGCTTTTTTTCCCTTTTTATGGATAAAATAACTGAAACTGAAAGGAAATTATTTCAGGACCCAAGTTCCCTATTTTAGTTAAAAGCTGTAGGCACACTGTGTTACTTCAACATACTGTTGTTTTATTTCAAACAACTTGTCTAGAAACAAAACTTCCTTTAATAAATTTGACCTGACTCCAAGGAGGGTAAGCATCTAGAGAAGAGATGCTAAAATCCTTATTTCAATTATAATTCTTATGCTAGCACACATGAATGTCAAGAGTGTGATATGCAAGGTTGATTCAGCCTTGCTAGGCCACTGGGCTGGAATCAGTCATCCTAGAGTATAAGTGTTTTTTTGTTGTTGTTGTTTTGTTTTGTTTTTTTAATGGCCAGGAGGAATTAAAAGAGAGTTATTTGGAGGATCAAGACACAGAAGAATATACTGCTCTACCTATATATTACTGCATGGTAATATGAATAGTAGTTCTACTACGAGGGGCAGGGTGGGAGGCAGGGAGGGAGTGTTTGAGACAAATGTATTCCTGGAACCAACTACATTTAAATACTTCTCT